CAAGGTGGGGAAACCAAGGGGCTCTGCACTTTCTTGAGAGCCGAAACCAAGTCTTAGAGTCAAGGCCTAGTTCGTGTTTATCTTTGCCAGACAGCCTTTAGGCCAATCGGGTCTTCGGAAGGAGGTAGCCCCTTGCCCTCGTGCGGACCCTGCGGGCAGGGTCTTTAAAAACCCCGACATCCTGCTGTTCCCACGCGCAGCTGCAACTCTTCGTGAGCAGCCGCAGCTCAAGGCTGTAGAGTGACCGCGGACGGTGTCCTCCTGTCGTCACCGAGCAGTGTGGCTTCTACAGATGCTTCGACCCAGGCAGGGTGAAGTCCCTCCCTCTGGCGGGAGGCTCAGCTCCGCTTCTCCGCAGGGATCGTCCCAGCCCCCTGCCCCCAGCCTGGATCCGAGCCTTGACCGCCCCTGCCGTCCCGCAACCACGAGTTTTGCCCCTTTCACAAAAATGTGTTCTCTTTCATTTGCGAATTTAATAAACAAATGTAACCATATCACAGTGGGCTCCGCGTCGTCCTTCTGAAAGCAATTCCACTGTTGAAAACTGAAAAATGGGTGTAATTTGCGTTCAGAAAGTGATGTTAGGGTCACGGCAATTTACCGGGCCGTTATTTATTTTTACTTTAAAGTCTTTAGGGAAGATTTGCTTATATACTCAGAAACCTTCCAATGCGAGGGTACCAGCCGTCGCGCTTGCCTTCAACGCAGGGGGGAGGGGTGGAGAACAATTACTGAGTGACGCTAATATGGGGAAACTGAAAAAGAAATGTCGATTGTTTTTATTGTAACAGAAGGAGTGAGCAAACAGAAAAACCAACCCCGGGTGATCGGAAACAGGCAGGCGGAGAATTAAAAGCGGGTTTCAGGCGGCAACAGGCCCCTCCCCTGCCCTCGGAAGGAGAAAGCGGATGAGGAGCGCTCGCAGCCCGGAGGCCGATCCTACGGGGCCCACAGCAGGGTTTCCGCGCTCGGGACCGACCTGGCGGGCTGCTGCCCTCTGGGAAAAGGGTCTTAAATCGTGAGCATCGCCGTCAGGAAGCCGGAGAGGCCTTGGTAACTTCAGGAGAATCCTCCGGTCTCCTTTTGGGGGTCCCTGCGGCCTCCACTCGGGCTAGTGCGTCCCACCGCATCCACAGCCGGGCGAAGTCCAGGCCGGCAGGTCAGTGTGTGGGCACCCCCCACCCCGCCTGGCTGGGGCTCAGGGCCCCCGCGGGCTGTGCCTCCCTCATTGCAAGGCTCTTCCCTCTAGCCGCTGCCCCCGCCCCGCCCCCGCCCGCTGTTCCACACGCGGATACGCCCGGCTTCAACACAGGCTGGACCCTCCCTCGCCTTGGGCACCTGTCGCTGGGAGGTCCAGAGGATGGAGGAGCGGCTGCAGACCCTGCGAGGCCCGGACAAAGCAGCGGGCCGATCTGGGTTGGAACCCGCGGCCCCGGAGTAGGTAGCGCAGTTTGCCGAGGACTGGAGAAATCCGGCCTCTTTTCTCTCTACGCAGCGCGCAATCCTTCACTTACCCTGGAAAAGGCGCTCCTGTGGGGGAATGGGATCCGAGATCTTGGCTCTATCGCATTCCCCTCAGACGACTGGAAGAAGTGTGCTTTTTCACTGTGCTTCGATAACTCGTCCGGGAGCTTCGACTTTGGCCGCTCCGGATGCTCGCAATTCCCCCCGGCAAGGCGAGAGACGCGTACCGTCTCCCGGGCCTCATCTGGGGTCTTGTCTGTTTCCAGCACCGGGGCAAGTTGGAGGAATCTGCTCCGTAATATTTTCCTCTGCCAACTGTGTTCTTCCTAAGTGCAACTAGGAACAGCAGGACCCCTCTCCAGCGCAAATACACGCCCCGCTCTAGCTATACCCTCCCCCCCACCCCCGCCAGCCGCAGTAGTCGCTGACCTGCCGACCCCTGGATGTCGGCGCCCGGCGGAGCAGGCCAGGGCGTCGGGCAGGACTGGAGAGCTAGGGGAGGTCTCCCCACTCCCTGTAGCGTCGGGGTCCTACCTCGGCAGCCCCTGGGCGCCGTCTGCCAGGCCGCGCGAGGGAGGCCTCGGAAGGAGCTAGATTCTTGTTCGTTCTCGGCATCTCTCTTCAGACCCAGCTAGTGCCGGGAGGGGGGCGCCGCAGGTGACCGCCCGCGGCACCGGGCCCGCTGACAGATTTATGAAGACTTTACAGCATCTGGTCTGGGCCCGCAGAGGCAGGACACGAGTCCAGCCAAAAAAGGCGCGCTGCGGACTAAACTTCACCCAGCCTCGTGCCCAGGCTGAGCCGCCTCTGGCGTCCTGGGCCCTGGCTCCCCTCCGGCGCTGTACTTGTCTGTCCCCGCCAGTACCAAGCGTACGGATTCTCTCCACCCCGTGTAGCCCCCTGCTTCACACCCTCCCGCCCGGCCAGCTTCCAGTCTCCCACTGAGTAAATATTTACCCAGAGAGCGGGTCTCCTCTCAGACAAGGCCCCGAATGCTCTGGGAAGGGCTTTGGCTTCTTCCCGGCCTGTGTCAGCGGCAGGCCTTGCTGGTTATGTTTTGGTTTTGGTCTTAAATTTCTTTTAGTCGAAATTCTTCCGATCTCTGTGTGATCTCCCGGGTCCAGAGCGGGTAGTAACCAGGGGGCACTGACCCCAGCTGACCCTTGCTCTTTCTCGCAGTCCTGCATCGCTACGCCCACCATTGAGGCTACTGTTTCTCTCTCTCTCTCTCTCTCTCTCTCTCTCTCTCTCTCTCTCTCTCTCTCTCTCTCCTTCCCTCTTTTCCTCCCTCCCTCCCTCCTCCCTTCTTCCCTCTCTTCCTCCCTCCTTCCGTTTCTCTTTCTCCTCCCTCCTTGTGTCTGTGTCCCTCTTTCAGGTCACTGGTCTCTGGTTCATGGGGTCTCCAGCTACCTGGCCAGCGCTCAGTACCCGACCCCAAGAAGGTTCAGCACCAGCCCCATTCTCTAGGATCCCCTGAAATTTCTATTCCTCTTGCCCCCGGAACCCGGCCTCGGCTTGACGCGGATATTTGGTGTCCCCAAACACCCGAAATTTTACGTGGGTTCTTGGGAAATCGCTGAGCTGAGAGCGCGGAACACCTGTACCAATACCTCCCCCCCCTCACCCCGCGGCGCGTGATGAGGACGGGTCGGCTCCAGCGGAGCGGGGGTGGGGGTGGGGGTCCGCCGCAGCTAAGACCGCAGGCGGCTAAGACCAAGTCCAGCAGGTGGAAATGTAGAGAGAGCGGCTGACCTATTCAAGAGCAAGGGAGACCAGGCAGCTGAAGGAGTTGGGGGGATGAGAGGAAGTTGTGTGTTAGGTCCACCTAACCAAAACTCTAAACAATACTAGTCTCTGGATCACTCCAGGCTGGTGCTGTAGAACCACTAAAGCCCTCCAGGGCTCATAGACCCAATTGGGGCACTGGGTCTTGCCGGTCTTGCCAGCTCAAAGGCATCACAGCCTTTTACTGCGAAGCATTCACTGAAGAGTACAGGAGCTGAGCATACAGTCCGCCCGCGGCAGGTCGCTACTCACTGTGTGTGTCAGGGGTAGAAGGGGGAGGGAGCAGGGGGATTCTTTATCAGGATGCTCAGCGTGTTCATTCCTTCGCACAAGCCTAAGGCAAAATCGTTAGCTTTCCTTAGACGTCGCAGCCGCCAATTAATTTGTACCCTAGCCCCAAGAAAGAGCTGCTGCTTTTAAAAGCTTGGGTCCCCAAAGGACCTCCGCGGTCCTTGTAAAGCGCCTGGTGGTGCCACACAACAGATATTGGGGGTCAGACCAGGGTGAAATCGCTATCAAGTCAAACTTCGAAATTTTAAACAATTGGGGGAAAAAAAGGGAAGACAAGTTCAAGTACTGTGTTTCTAGTTGTGGGACTTTTCACAAGAACCGGGTTGTAAAGAATTAAGGGTGTTTGAATTCATCTCTCCTTCCTCTTTCAAATCCTTCACATCTGTAAATTTGAACTTAGAGTGTTCTTCCACAATAGAAGAGTATCTGGAGTTTGCTGTTCCTTTAAAAAAGCACAGCTGATGATTAATTTTTCCTGGGCTCTTGTCACTTACTGGCTCAGGATCTAGGCCCAGTCAACTTCCCAGTGTGTAGATCAGAGCCACACACATCCCTTGGGATTGTGGGAGAATCAGCCCGAATCCTGCGTGCACTAGAAGGAGCATTATGACTGTCAGGGAGTAAGCAGTATGTGTATCATACACCCGAAGCAATACAACTCCTAAGTTCATTAAGAATGTTTCCCGTTTTGTTTTTCTTAAAAATTTTGATAGGCATTCTCCATAACTCAAAATGTGAATAATTTTGGCCGCCCAAGAGTACTGTACGCTTTAGATTAGATGTAGAGTGAACGAAAGTGGAAATTCAGAAGTAGGCTGACTTTCAGGGCCTCTGCTAGCTAAACGGAAGACGCGGGAATTACATACATGTGCAGGCCCTTCACCTTCTTGGGACCAAGCCTTTTTCATATTTAAATAAAACTCCTTCGCAGCGGTTTGCTGGTGGTGGGGAAACCGGCAAATGTTAGCACCGAGGACCGGCGGTCCAGCACCTTAACTGAGCGCCCCACGCACAGGCAATAAGTCGACTTCGGCTGGTGCGCCTCGCGGCTCCTGCTTGGAGCTTACGTAGCTAAGGTTTGGACCCGCGCTCCTGGATAAACCCACTGGAGACTGCTGTGGAGAGCTATTCAACAGGGCAGAGGAAGGGTCTCTACCTGGCGATAACAGTGCCCTTCCCCTCTGGCTCGGTCTCCCCTAAACCTCCTTGTCTCTCCCATGGGCCTACCTTCTCACACCTGCACTCTAGCCACCTGGCTGGGGTGAGGTAGGGTAATCTGGTAACAATTCTGAGATGTCCGTCTGTCCCCCAAAGAAGCCTCAGCTCCTTCCCTTTCCGAGTCCCTCATATTGAGACCAAACGCTTTCATTTGCTTATTCAGCATTTTTATCAGCCTGATTTTGCTGTCTGTTTGCGTTGCTCCTTAGAAGGTGTCAAACACCCATTTTCTTTGTATTTAGTCACCCAGGTGCAGAGCGAGCTTGAAAGAGACAGCGGAAGAACTTTCCCGGACCGCGCTGTCGCTCACCGGCCCACACCAATCACCACGCACTTTGCCCTCGGGGCCCTCCTCTTTGTGGGGCGTGTCCCTAGTGAGTGATAGACAGAGCCGCCCGGCCCCGCTCAGCCCAGCCCACGTTGCTGCTTAGATTGAAATGCAGAACTCAAGCCTCTTTCATCAGGGCACAGACTTCCTTTTACTCCTTCCTTTTGCACTCTCGCCGCCTCCTCTTGGGGAGAAGCGGAGGCACCCGCAGCACGGGGCAGCGACAGGCTGGGCCACTGAGGCCGTGCGAAAAGTTTCTTTCTGGGAGCGCGGAACTGGGGTCCGGTTGGTGTGCTGTTCGGAGCAATGGGTGAGTGGCGGCGGGGGACGCTGTCAGAGCCGGGAAGGGAGGGAGGGAGCCAGCGGGCGAGGGAGGGAGGGAGAGCGCGCGAGGGCGCGCACCTCTGAGCGCTCACACTCTTCTTATTGACTTTGCTCGTGTTCCTACAACTTGTAGGAACACGCTAAGGGTCAGAGGCTCACAGCAGTTCAGTCTAAACGCTGGCTACTGGGTTGCTGTTGATGCCATTTTCTAATTTTAAGAGAAGGGAAGCGGTGGCATCAGCAAGCCCCGCGGCCCCAGTGGCGGTCCAAGTTTTGTTTCATATACATGTACACACGTAAACAAAACAGAAAAAAAAACCCTCTAGTTTTCCCTAGTCCTTGTCTAATCACGCAGGGTCCCCTGGCGGGGCGCTGGGGATCAAGGGGTAGCGGCCCAAGGGCTTTAGCGCTGAGTGGCCATGTAGGAGCCTGTCGCAGGCGTCAAGACCGATTTCCCCGCCTGCTTCCGAGAGTTTTGAACATTCGAAGCAGCCCTGCGCCTCACCATTTTATTTGCTTCTAGCGGCCGCAGGCACCACGGGAATGAGGGAGGGAGTCTGACTCGACCGCGGTGATTTGGAGCCGTTCGGCAAGGCTCCTGAACCGTATGGTTTGGGGCAAGCCCGGGTCCTTAGTCCGCGGCGGGTGCATCCGCCGTCCCCTGACGCGCGCGGAGGCCGAGCGGCAGGCGGCTGTCCCAAACCGCGGGTGCGCGTCCCCGCGCGCCGTCTGTTTGTTTTGCAGAGCCAGCCTTTGGGGAGGTGAACCAGCTGGGAGGAGTATTTGTGAACGGGAGGCCGCTGCCCAACGCCATCCGGCTTCGCATCGTGGAACTGGCCCAACTGGGCATCCGACCGTGTGACATCAGCCGCCAGCTACGGGTCTCTCACGGCTGCGTCAGCAAGATCCTGGCGCGCTACAACGAGACAGGCTCGATCTTGCCAGGAGCCATCGGGGGCAGCAAGCCTCGGGTCACCACCCCCACCGTGGTGAAACACATCCGGACCTACAAGCAGAGGGACCCCGGCATCTTCGCCTGGGAGATCCGGGACCGCCTACTGGCGGACGGCGTGTGTGACAAGTACAACGTGCCCTCCGTGAGCTCCATCAGCCGCATCCTGCGCAACAAGATCGGCAACTTAGCCCAACAGGGCCATTACGACTCATACAAGCAGCACCAGGCGGCCCCGCAGCCGGCGCTGCCCTATAACCACATCTACTCTTACCCCAGCCCCATCACAGCGGCTGCCGCTAAGGTGCCCACGCCGCCTGGGGTGCCCGCCATCCCCGGCTCGGTAGCCATGCCGCGCACCTGGCCCTCCTCCCACTCCGTCACCGACATCCTGGGCATTCGCTCCATCACCGACCAAGGTAAGGGCTCAAGGGCTGCTGTGTGGATGTGCTGGGCCTCCCTCCGCATCCTCGCTGGGGTCTCAGTATCTGCGGCCTCCGCCCGCGTTTATCTCATCACCTGGGGCTTTTTCCTTTGGAAATGTAAGGAGTCCTCCCAGGGGGTGTCCTGATCTCATTAAGTTGAAATTCATGCCCTTCGTTTCCTTGCCACACACAGTCTCCTGCCTCATCTCAAACTACCAGACCCATAACATCCCCCCATCCCCAACACATGGTTCGCATTTTCCACCCTCCCCCTCCTCGCGCCGCCGCAGCCTCAGACCGGCTCGCTCACTTGGGGAGCTCAATCGAGGCCGGACTTGGGGCGCAGCCCGGGAGGCCCAAGCCGGCGTGGGGCTGCCGGCTGCAGACACCGCTGCGGGCAGCCTGTTTGGGGATCAGATGCGGCAGCGAGGAGTCGGGCACCCTGTGGAAATTGCAGTATTCTTCTTGGATTCTGGCAATCAGGCCAAATTTGCTCAGGCAGGAAGTTCAAATGTCACCTAATTGGTTTCATTCTTATGCTTCACTTCATTTTCCTCGGAAACAGAGGTCCCGAAGTTACTACTAGTAACTTGCATGTTACTGCATTGCTCATTCTGGGACTAATTTTCTGCGTTATTTCTCTCTTTCCTCTCTCTCTCTTTTACCTTAACAGACTTGGCTATATATATCTTAGGAAGTGGCACCAATCACCGTTGTGATAGAGACAAAACGCTTGGCAATTCCTTGCTGTACTCTCTTCTGTTCTTTCTCGCCCCGCGCCTGCCGCTTCCCGTTAGGATCCCTCGGTGCCCGAGAATGCGAGTGGATATCTAGTCCCCGCATGTTGCCACCCCACGGTTCCTTTTTCTCTCACCCTTGACCTTGCAGTGTCCTGAGTGTCTTTTTTGCTTGGTAAGAACGATTCCTCAAGCTCTCCTGCCTCCTCAGGCTTCCTCAGGAGACATGAGTTTGTTTTATTTCCTGCGTTGTTAAAACAAAACAAAACAACAACAAAAAAACGACGTAAACTCGGTAGGGAGAAAAGAAAGTCAAAATGCCCCTAGATGCAAAATTTAAATGTTGCAGAGATAAAGAGCCTATCTTCTTAATTTCTCAGACAAAAGTTTAAAAGGTGCAGAGGAAAAATTAAATAGGAAAGGGGTGGAAATAGTTCCTTTAATTATTTCCTGCCTTTCTTGGTTACCACCACATTGGCACAATTATCTTTTTAAGTAATTAAAGCAGAGCCTCGATTTCTCATCTTCTTGTTCCCTGACTGTGAATTTACAAGATCTTTCTAAGGGTTCAGTTTTGTCCTATTTGAGCTGGTTGGAACTTAAGTTGGAGAGAGTTTGCCCTTGATTTATAGGATAAACTGACCTCACTGACATTTAAAGGAAGCCCCTGTTCATGGGAAAGTGTGAGATCAGCAGAAATGGGGGCTCACAGGGGGATCTCAATTTCTTAAGATAACTTCAGGCTTGTGCCCACCGATTGCCTTTTGTCTGGGAAGGCAAAGAGAGACTGGCAGTTCTGGGCCAAAACACAGTTTCCTGGTGCAAATTGGAACACAATTTAATTCTTTGGAGAAGGGGAGGAATAGTGAAAGAAGACTGACAGAGTTGAAAAGAAAACTTTTCTCCCCTAGGGATCCTACAATCAGACCAAATGTCAGTTGGAAAACTATTGGATTATGGAGAGGAGTAACTTCATGCTAGATGTTGTTGATTCTGGGTGCCAGCTTTAAACAACCTGTTTTCTGACAAATTTGTGCCTATAAAATGATTATTTCTATAAATGACTCTACGAAATGATCACAGCTTCTAAGCACTGAGTCAGAGGGAAGTGTTTAAAATCCAGTGGTAGTGGCTTTGTCAAACTTCAGTCCTCGATCCATAGGTCCCAAAGACAAAAGCACACTGCTCATAGTCTTCAAACATCTCCTGTTTAAAATTGCACTTAGACACCAGAGATTCATTGTGCAGACCCTTAGGTATTGTGGCAATCCGTTTACACCATATAATTTTCTTTGCATCTGTAGTAAGAACATAAAGGATAACTGATGGCTTTACTCCTTGTTCAAAAACACTTAATTCTACTTTCATTTTTCTTAACCTTTCACATCATAAAAACAAAACAACCCTCTATAACCTTACCACTGACACGCGTGGCATTTACAGTGGTAACTGTAGTGTTTATTTTTTGAGTCATATGCACATAACCTCACATTTAATGTATAGAGGTAGAGCATCAAGGTTGGTCACACACAAGGTATGCACACACAAGGCAAAAAAACTATGCACATATATTTTGCATGTGTATTGTGGGCAGCATTTAGTTATTTGTTTGCCTAGGACTTTGCCGGTCTTTTGTTCCATCTATTGACATAACTACGAGGTCCCTACAGCCTAGGGAGCACTTACCTGGATGTCTCAGCACCAGCACAGGCACTGAGGTTGGCCAGGACGCCCCTCTCTCCCTTTTCATTCCGCACCAGCCCCAGATTTTTGTCAGCCCCAGTCGACGCTGGATTAAGATGGGGAGAACGGCCCATCCACTTTCAAGGGGTTTTCATCCCCGATCAGGAAAAATTTGGGGAAAATTCTCAGATTCCTTCCACTCGTTTCTCCGCGAGAGCGAAGAGGGGAGGGGGAAATCAAAGGCCGGTTGTTGAAGAGAAAAAGAAATCTCCCTGCAGGCGTGGGTGAGAGACCTGGGAGAGGCCTACTCCGAGGCGAGTAAACTGCACCGGGCCGTGGGCTGGAAGCCGGAGAGGCCGCGCCTGCGCCCGGCGCCCCCGGGAGGCGAAGGGCAGGGGACCCAGGTCGGAGCCCTAGTGCTCGCCGGTCACGGGTTCGGGCCGCGCGTCTCAGGAGGGGGCGCACGCTTCGGACCTCCAGCCTGACGCCTTCTCCTCCTCCCCAGGAGTGAGCGACAGCTCCCCCTACCACAGCCCCAAAGTGGAGGAATGGAGCAGCCTGGGCCGCAACAACTTCCCGGCCGCCGCCCCGCACGCGGTGAACGGGCTGGACAAGGGAGCCCTGGAGCAAGAAGCCAAGTACGGTCAGGTGAGGAGGCGCGGGCCCCGCCCGGTGGGCCGCGTGGCGGCGGGGTTAGGGCGATGGAGGGACCGGTCCTTTTCTAAGCCTCGACCGAGGGGCAGCCCAGGCCGACCGCGGGGCTCCGCACCAGCCCCTTCCTACGTTGTCCCGGGCGGGACGGAGGCCCCTCGGAGGGCGGAGTTGAGGCCTCGACCCCCGTCGGGAGCCCGGGGGCATGGGGCGGCCGCTCCCTACGGCGCGGCCCTGGAGGCGCCTCGGGCCGTTAGGGAGCCCCCCTCCCCTCCGCCGCTCGCCTCGGGGGCCGGGGTCCCCCCAGGGGGGGCGCTCCCGAAAGGCCGGGCGAGCGGCCTCCACGCGCGCCCAGCGCACGCCCGAGGTCGCGTCCGCACGCTCGGACCCTGCGCGCACCGTGGCTTGCCGCAAACAAACGAGCGAGGCTTGTGCTGCGGTAGTCAGAAGAGGGCAACCAGATAAACTTAATAAAGTTACCATTTCCCGATTAAAGGTCACGTCGTCACCTCCCAAGGGAGCTTAGTGAGAAAACCTCAAATTATACGGACTGGCTGTGGACCGTTTAATTTTTCTTTCCCTCTGTCCCTCCCCCGACTCTCCTAAAGAAAAATTAAGACACCCGTGTTTTGGTTTTGTTTTTTTCCTCCTGAGAAAGACTAAGCAATTACCATAAGAAAAGCCCAAGAGTTTTGAGTCTAAATTCATCACTACGCTAGGACGAGAAGTTCAAAGTCAAAACTCTCAAAAAGAAAAAAAAAAAAGGGAAAAAAAGCACCTTAAAGCACCCTAAGGTTTCTGTGAGCAGAACTGGGTAGCTTTGCAAATTTCTTCATACCAAAGTCCAATTCCAAAGCCTCAAAATACGCAGTTTTCATTTTATCCTTTTGAAGCCTTAAAACTTGCAGTGTTTTCTTATCTGTAAAAACCAGCTTTTTAAGTAAAATGGAACTTGTTACTTTTATTCACTTGGGGGAAAAAATCCTAGTTGTTATTTTCTCTAACAAACCCATTTCCACTTCTTCCCTCCCTTATTTTGTAAAAACAGAGACGGTACATATTAGTAGCTCTCCTCTGATAAACATCACAGAAAATAGCAACAAGAAAAGACAGTCCCTTTCCTGAGTCAGCTTCTGTTGTTAAGAATGTCAATGAGAAATTATAAGAAAGTTTGTAGTTTTTTTTTTTTTAATAAAAGTGCCTGTAATTCGTAAAGAACAGGCAGTATGTACAATGGTTAGGAGCTCTGGTCCTCTAGCACCATCACCACTTAAGCAACTTATTTAACGTTTTAGAGGCTTCATTTCTTCATCTGTAAAATGGAGAAATAATAGTCCCAACCTCAAGCGATGTTGTGAAGATTCAATGAGATAATGCAACCATATGGCACTAGCAAGCATTCATTAAATATTACCTGTGGTTATAAGTGGAGGTTAGAGATTGACTTTTAAAAACAAGCCATTTTTTTGGTCAGAATATACTTTGTTCAGAGAACTAATAGTCAAAAAGCGTCAAGGTATTTTGTTACAAACAATAGGCGTGTATATAAAGCACCTAGCATAATAGCAAGCATTTAATAGTTGCTCAGTGATTTTTATTAGGTCATCATTTCTAAGAATAACATTGTGAAGTACAGAGGTGAAAAATAGTCTCCAATTCCCACGTACAGTTGATGCACCCAGTTTATATATAAAGCAGTGTCATAATCTAAAAACCATTATGATTATTTTTACTTTCTTTAATTATAGATTTAGCATTTAAACTTGTTTAGAAATGGTTAATCTATACATACACTTCAAAACCAAACCAACCAATTTAAAATAAAAATAGAACACTTTAAAATGACCTCTGTATATTCTGAACATTGAAAATCAATTACATTTTATACACAGGATATTAAATCATTAAATTATCAGATTCATAAAAGCAACTAACTTAAGAAATAAGTTGCCAAATAAGTATTCTAAATACTTAAGAGAACAAGTTAAATTTTTTTCCAGAAGAGAGTTATTTATGACTTACATTTGGAAAGTTCTTAATTGCAATATGCTAATCTTCTGCATTTCCATATAGTAAGATAATTCAAATGATGTAAAATGTCAAAACTTGAAAAGTTTCTAAGCACCAGTGGTTACTCTATTACAATTATCAAAATAGTGCTTAATGCAGAAGGTGTGCTAAGTATGCACATAAATTTAGGCCAGGTCATTTTATGAGCAATTTAGAAATTGATTTCCTTGATAGTAAAATTATACGTTAGTACATGCTCATAAACATACACAGGTAAGGTGTGTTTTATATTTATTTTGGTATTATATATCTCTATTTGCATTATGAACAAAATTTAAAAGTCTTTGACAAAAATTTATTTTCAAAAATTGTGCATGTAATACTTTTAGGGCATTCACAATTGCTATTAAATAGTGCAATATTATATGATCCTAGTTTTATTTTCGTATATATAGGAAGAAATTGAGAAATCAAAATCATAGGACTTAGAGCATAATCTTTTCCCAGAAAACACCTGTAAAATTACCAAAGAGGCTGAACTGACAATTGATTGTAGGTAGAATTGATTACCATAATCTAGTTTCCATTTTCAGTTTAAACTGCAAAGAAAGATGCCCGATTGCTGGTAATTAGAACCTTATGCATATTTGTTATACATGCCTATCTTTAGATTTTAAAATAGTAGTTTAGAATATTCAAAACCAAACCAGCCGATTTAAAATGAAAATAGAACACTTTCAAATGATCTACTCTGTATATTCTGAACAAAATCGGTTACATTTTATACACTGAATATTAAATCATTAAAATTTCAGATTTATAAAAGCAACTAACGTGAAAAATAAGTGGCCAAATAAGCATTATTCTAAATACTTAAGGGAATAAGTTAAATTTTTTTCCAGAAGAGAAAGTTATTTATATGAAACTTACATTTGGAAAGTTCTTAATTGCAATATGCTAATCTTCATTGCCATGTAGTAAAATAATTTAAATGATGTAAAATTTCAAAACTTGAAATGTTTCTAAGCACAATTAAATCTTGTCTTACACTTTGATATTATGCTGCAATTAATATTTTATAGTGCCATTCAGAAATCCTTATTGTCTACCTCTGAGGATAGGAGAAAGAGAGTATTTATTTATTTTGGCTATATGCACCCACATTTTATATTGGGCTAGAACTCTTTAATCTCATCTAATTCTGAATGGCAACAATGATCTCTGGTTCCTAATGGCTGGTTTTCTTCTGTTGAAAGCATAAAATCTGTATTGAATGCAATTACATGGCAAAAAAAACCAAACCAAAACAAAACATAGAGACTCATGGGTTGGAATATAGCTGCCCTTTACACAGTACTTAGTAAATCAATGCCTTATTTTATTTAAACAGTTTATAAACAGTTGTATAGCTTTTGAAATATTTTTTAGTGGGCATATTTTCTCAGAAAAAAAGTATATTGCATATCTGGTACTCTAAAGTATCTGAATGGTAGATTTATAAGCTTTCAGTATATTCATTTTGGAGTAGTATATATTAACTCAGACAGCAAGTTTAATATAATTTTAGCTACAAATTGACATGTCAGAAATGAAGAGTAGTCTCTAAATATTTGGACTTAGAAAAAACTCAGAGGTGTGAAAATAGTTGAATTTGGAGACAAATTAATCTGAAAGTCTTATGAAGCATTCATTTGTATATTGTATCTAAAATATTGTATTTTAGAATACTGAATATAATTTTCTAGTACACTATTTTAAAACTGGCTGCCCTTGTAGACATACTGTTCTTGTGAAAAGGTAAATGAAGTTGTGCTGGATTTTTAGTAATATCAAGTACAGTTAATTTTGTCTTAATTTATGATTTTGTAGAGAATGCAATCTTAGACAAACGCCAATAGACAGTCTTTGAAATTCATAATGCTATCTATTACAAAAAACATTCTTTGACCTGTTTAGTTTTTAACTATTAGTGTTTTAAAACAAAATTAATGATTATGTATCAGTAAAATGTGTCTCATAAAATACAAAAAGTGATTAAAATTTTTTAAGGCTACATCAATTTTAGTAATATTTTGGAAACATAAAACTTAGAAAAAAAAATTTAAATAGCAGCTTTCCATTACCCAGAGGCATTTAGATCTGCCATCTCATAGCTAAGCATAATTAAGATCCTTTTGGATGAATGTTGAAACCATATTTACAACCATTTCATTTTATCAGATTTGTTTTATTAAGTCATTGCATAATGAATCAAGAAGGCTAGAATGACAGTCAGAAAAATGATTTCACCAAAACAAACAAACAAACAAAAAACCCCCCAGGAAATCTTGTTTATGTTCAGATCTGAACCATTTTCTTTCTTATGATATATATTGAGGTTGAAATTCTAGGTGCAGCACATCTCAGTTTGTGGCTAAATCTACTTCATTATAAAGCCAAGGTAAACTCTTTGTATCATGGTGTGGGGAAGGGGGCTAGGTAGAACTGATGAGTGGATGAAAGATTGTGGGTAGAGGACTTGGCACTGCTATTTTTATTTTCTTCAAGAGAGAAAATGTTGAGTAGACAATTCCCAGAATTTGAAGAATAGTCTATAACCTCTCATTGCCAGACAGTTGTCGTACCAGTTTTTTTCGTGGTCATGTAAGTGTTTGGATACTAATGCATTTCCATTTTCTTGGGGATGGGAATAAATGTAATGACCATAAATCAAATAATGAAATGCCTAGGTTAGAACTTTTATTTACTTTTTTCAACAGCTTCATTAATTTTGCTTACTTAAAGTGTAATGCTTGTTTTGTGATAAAGGGTGCTTAGTTTGGTTTTTTAAAGCAATAGTGTCACATCTTTTGCTTTCAAAAGGCTGCACTAACTTAAGTATACAAATGATTATGAAACACCTATAATGTGTCCTGTTTTATGGAGATATGCTTGAAGCAAGTCCCTGTCCTCAAACTGTTTACAATCTAGCTATCTGCCAATATAGCTTCTCAACATACTCATTTAAAAACATATTCTTAAAAACTGGCAAATCTATATTTCTATATATTAGAACAAATGAAATGAAAACTTTCATGCTTTCATTCATTCTAACCTTAACTAGACTACATTGCGTCTTATGTATTTTTTTTCTGGAGTATTTCCTTTAATGTTAGTGGGATAAAGTCTGTCTTTTCCTAAAAATATTCAACAAAGCAAGTAACTTACTTTTTCCAGGATGCAATTTGGTCTATTTTACGTTGTAGTATTAGTAAATGTCATTCTCAGAATTAGGTAGTAGATAGTTTGTTTGCTCCAGGGAGGACCCTTGTACAGTTCTTTAGAGGAAAGGATTCTCTCGTGGCTTTCAAGGAAGATCCACATAAAAAAAGAGGTTGATGGATTGATGTCTTATTTATGGAATATTTAGGTAAAGTCATTTTCAAAAATGAGATTTCCATTACATGCCCATTGCTGGGGTTTCATTTGGAAAATTTGTTTACTCTTCCCTGGGGATTCCATATGTTGGTTGATTTATAAATCATATTTACAATCCAATTAAATAGAGTAATTTAGCATGTTTGCTCCCTCTATATTTATGGTATACATTTGGTAGTCTCTACTCAGCCTAACTAGCTTTTCAGATTAATTACATGCCCTTCACTGAAAACATTAAACAGATTTGGGAAATTTAAGTCATGTACTCTTTTACTGGAAAGAATAAACAAGCATCAATGCTACCTGTAGTTTTCTTTGCGGTGGAAAATTTTACTCTTTCAGTGATTGCTTCATAAATAACAATTATTTTATCCAGTAGAGATTTATATCTTTTACTAATGTCACATTTCAAAATTAATAGTGAGAAAATTTATGTGTTTATTGAGTCACTAGAATGAATGAATAGTGAAGGTGGTAGGTACATTTTAAAGCACATTTGTTCTCTGATCATGCTTATGCCATTTTCCCCCTAATTTTCTAAATATGAACTTACAAGTAAAAAGAAAAATTAAGACAAAACTTTTTACTCCAAATCTAGGTCATAATTTAACCTGAGGGAAAGCTAAGAGCTATTTTTATACTGTTTAAGTTTAAAGGTTTCTAGTTTATTAAGAGGTCAAACCTCTCCAAGCTTCCCTTTCTGCTCTTCCTTTCTGAAACACAGCAGACTGCATCGCTACAATTACTCTAAATATATTATGGGTTTTAGAGAACTTTGAAATATTTAATACTAATAGGAATAAGAACACAAAAGCAAGTTTGATGCCCTAAGCATGAGAAATGGGACAAATATGGAAAATATTAGTAGTGTTTTTTACACTCGACAAATAAATGTGGTTATAGAATAAGTAAAGCACCCAAAGGTAACATGGGCCTAAATCCAATGTTCTACCTCCCCCTAAGTCCCAGGCACATTTTCTAAAATGAGAGTTTAATTCAGCCAGGTTTCTCAGAGGGAGTGTCTGTAGGCAAAAAAAAAAAAAAAAAAAAAAAGTGGGTGCATGTAAAGAGATTCCAGACATTGCAATAAAACAGTTGAGGAGCCCCAAATAAAGGGGGGACATCCAGGAGCAGTGGTTCCAAGGGAGGGGTGTAAGGAGACAAAAGGGAAAATGACAAAGCAAGTATTTCAGAGAGAACTGTAATTTTGCATGATAGAAAAATACAAAGAAAACAACAGGCAGGAAAACTTTAGCTGTGATGAAAAAGAGAACTCACCAACAGAATTTTTTTCCTACTAGCTAGAACATCATTTCTGTCATGTATAATATTAAATAGTCTAACCTATGTATTTGTAAAATATTGAGCAAAGGTTTTCATTATTTTAAAAGTAATTTAACGTTAACATTTTAATCTTAACATTCGTATTTTATGATTCTTGGTGCTCATTGGCATCAATAGTATAAAATATTAATTAATACTAGAATGGGAGAGGCCAAACGCAGATGCAAACACCTTGCCATGACTGAACTGGAACAACTGATTCCTTTCCAAACGAATTTCTCATAGGTTTTTGGGGAAATCCTAGATAAACATGTGCAGAACTATAATCTCTATGCAATGCTAGATTTCTTCTGCAATTTGCTAGCTCTCATACTCATCTGCTGAGAGCCTTACAGTGTCTCCTTTGAGCCATTCTCTAATGAGCCATTCTCAGAAGGAAAAAAGAGTTTCTTTTTTAGAAGTTAAGAAACAGAATGAGGATCTAGCAATGAGAATAGGGTTCTAGAAGAAGAAAGAATCTTTTTACCAGATATTGTCTCAAAAGATGCTCTGGTTTGAGATTAAATTGTGTCTATCTTTTCATTGTCCAGCAAAAGCAGAAAAAGACTTGCTACAGAGGATCCTACATCAGACAGGAGTGATAACTTCTTTTAACACGTGGCCACTGCCTTGTCAATCGGCCTACAGTAAATGGCTAAATTCCTTAATCTGTATTCTTGTGTGAAAAAGAGGAAAAGATTTCATTTATATTCAACAGTGATGTGCAATGGTTTCTTTGTTAAAAAATACAGTATCACCCTTTGGGATTCTTGTCATACATTTTCATTTTAATTGAACATTCTGTTGTACTACTTGTATATCATCTTGTAATTATTATACACCCAATAGTTTATAATGAGCTACAATTTATCAATCTTCATTATTTGGTAAAGTAAATTGGATATTTCTTGGTACCAGGACAGGGGACATACTGTCCCCTTTCCCATTTTTTCCGAGAACAGGCACTTTGACAAATAGAATATCAGGTCTATTTTTTTACAGAACAAGCGCACAAGGTTAACCCCTCTACTTTTATTCTTATTTTGCCAGAAAGCTATGAGCAGTGTTAAATCACACCCATGTATACTCTACTCCAAGTATTACTCTAAATTGAGAAAATCATTTTTGAGACCCCACCAATGAAAATAATAACCAAATGAATTAAATTAGAAAACAATTTCTATGTTGCAATTGAATTGGAAAAAGTGTCTAACGTGTCTGCTTTATTTACCTCTAAGGATTACATCAGTTTTACTAATAATAAATCTATTATTTGCATTTAACTTTCACTAGGAAATATGTTGATATGTTAATTCATTTACATCACTATGAGAAAACAGGATTTACTGTTTATTTATAAATAATGTAGAAATTGAGGGGAAAAATTTATGTTCCTAGAAGAAGGATGCCGAGTGTTCATGCCAGGATCATATTAGAAACCAGGGTGTTTTTAGTGTTGTTAATAGTAACAATACTAACAATAATTGGATGCCAAGAGAATACTGGTTTCTAGGCAGACTCGCCTGCCAGAGCTGCTGCATTTTGTTTGCAAACTAAAATTTTACATTTAAATTCATTTCAAGAGATTTATCCATGTGGCTTTAAAAAATTTACATCACAGGGTCCCCAAATTTTGTAAGCCAATTTTCCAATTTCAAAACCACACATATACAGTTCTTTTACATTTGAATAGCTAGTGTCCTTTTTAATAAAATACCCTCAATCATCATTTAAAAATACAAGAAAAATCATATATAGATACAGACAATAGTTTAGTGGTTACCAGAGGGTAAGGGGGGAAAGGGGGTGGTAGAAGAGGGTAAAGGGGACCAAATATATGGTTATGGAAGTAGAACTGACTCTGGGTGGTGAACACAAATGTGATATATAGATGATGTGCTATAGAAATGTACACTTGAAACCTATATAATTTTACTAACCAACATCACCCCAGTCAATTAAATAACAATTAAAAAAAACACTGATTTGCATGTCTTTTGTCTAATAGGCATTTACAACATGACGTTTTAAAATATGGCTTATATTTTATTTAACAAAGGTTATGTTCATTTTGCATTCTAAACTGACAGCCCGTGATCTGTGTCCTGCGTTACTGGAAATGAAAGCTACACCAACCAGGGCCCTCACTCACAAATGCCTCAACAAAAGAACCAAACAAAACCCAAAGTACGGGGAAGGTTGACAGAGGCGTATGGATAGCAGAACAGATTCTAAGAGGATTCAGTCACTGTTCATTCTTTCCTCACCCTGAATGGCCCTCGTATAATCCCAAATAGCAAAGCAAATATTGTGAATTTTCTGGTTGTAGCTTCCTCAAAACCTTTGTGGAAAGAATAATATCTTGCCAAAAGTGGTATTATGTTTATGTAGCAAGACTGAATGCATTTAGAATATAATTATGGTCAAATCTAAAAAAAAAAAATCAGAAAGGGAAAGTCAGAATATTGTTAGCTACTATTGCTCAGGACATACAGTCTCCTTCTAAGAACCCGTGAAACGTCACTACTGTAATGTGATTATTTTCACCTCTTCTCTTTCCCACTCCTCTTAGGCACCAAACGGTCTCCCAGCTGTGAGCAGTTTTGTGTCAGCATCCACCATGGCTCCTTATCCTACCCCGGCCCAAGTGTCGCCTTACATGACCTACAGCGCTGCTCCTTCTGGTTATGTTGCTGGACATGGGTGGCAACATGCCAGTGGCACCCCACTTTCCCCCCACAACTGTGACATTCCTGCGTCGCTGGCATTCAAGGGGATGCAGGCAGCCAGAGAAGGTAGTCACTCTGTGACAGCTTCTGCACTCTGATGGAAAATTCCGTCTGCAACAGCTTCACCCGGGTCCCCTCTCTCAGCACCCCCTCCCCCCTTCCCTGGTCTCGGATCCCACCCCTCCTGCCCTCCAACCCTCCTGCCTGGACAGCTGGCTTTATGGACTCATCTCCTTTGTGCTGATGACAATTAAATATTTCTTGCCATAACTTCTCTCTCACAGAAAACCTGACATGACTTTCGGATTTAAAAACAAAAGCATTATTAAGGACTGAATGAGACATTTCTGCTGCCCACACACTGTTTTAATGTAGTGAAGAAACCTGCACCCCTCAAAGGGCTTAAGGAACTTTTTAAATTAGTCTTTGGTAAAACCACATGTGTATATTTATTCTAAATCAAGCTAAACTTTTGAAATGTGCAATTGTAAAGATTTTGCAAAATCAATAAAGGAAAATACATATAGAAAAAAAAGTTATGCTACACCCTCTAATCAAATAAGGTGACCAAATAAGCCTTAATTCATCATTAGGAAACCAATCAGCAATTGATTTGTTTGAGTGATCCTTTGTTTATTTCTAAGAGATGACCTGTTTTGTTGGAGAATATATGTATAACACAAGCAGTGTCTGAATTTAGCTCCTCCTGGTGTTTTGACTTGGTTCCAAATACGATAATGTTTATATTTTCTATTAGTTTGTAAATAATGGACTCTGGATGGTGCATTTGTGTTTTCATTCCATGGGATACCCCCTCCCCCTCTATTCTTTCTTTCTTCTGCCAAGGTGACTTTCTGGCAATGTCTTTGTCTCTGTTTGGTGGTGGGCCCCTTGGGCTCCTGGACCTGGACTTGCCCCAAATTCTGTGTGTGCAGCGAAGGCTTCAACATCCCATGAAGGACATTTTCTTTCTACAGCAGAGGATTCAAAACCAGATCAAACAAGCCAGTCTCCCATTTTGTATTCTAATCAAACAACACACATGCCAAACATAAAGACAAGAGGGTGGAAAATATCTGAAACAAGAAGGCTCTAAAGAAAGTCACTTAGAAACTTAAGTTTAATGTGAAATGCTTTGCAAAGACACTTAAAATGAACTTGATGTTAAGAAAACCACTGTGAACCTAAATTGTACTGTTATTGTTGGCTTACCTGTGTGTTCAGTAATCTCAGCCCAAAATTATGTTGTAACTTAAAGACAATGGAAAATTCTGCTCTAATGAATGTAAAAATGGCTTGCTGTGAAGTTTACATTGTTGTACAGAAGCATGTTTCACATGTAGGTAAACTGGTGGTGGTATTAGGAATACAAATGCTATTTAATTTTTAAAAATTCCCTTTATTCATTTCTGGATTTACAGGACACAGTTTAAACTGATAAATCTTTCTAAACCAATTTTTAATGTTAATAATAGAGCTGTGGGGTATATGTGTGTGTGAGCGTGTGATGATGTGTTGTATTTTAAAACAATTGATTTTCTTGGGCAAAATTCTACAGTTTTTAATCTCTTCTGTTTAGAAAGTTCTTCCTGCTTGGCAATATAGTCTTGAAACTACGTTTTTAAAACATTGGTACAATTCATCTATTGGAAAATTAATATATTGCGAGTTTTGGGGTATGAATTCTGTGCAATAACTAAAAGGGCACATCACTAGACATGGATGTTACAGAGGCATTCGTTAGGTGATTTTGATTCCTTCCTATCTGTGCTGTGCACAGCCTCCGTGGCAGTCCAGTTCTGTCACATTGGTTTCATGGCTTCATTTACAACTCAGATGGCTAGATTAGCTAGGTCTTCAAATCACTAGGATGTAAACAGTCAGGAGATTTCTGACATACAAGCTATGTTCGAGGAATTGCTTTTCTCAAGCAGCAGATATCTTATAGAGAGCTTTGAACTGCATTTATTTCGAAAGCAATCGAAACTCAGTGCTACAAACAGAGGATTATAACTTCAGGAGAAGAAGAGCAGAAGAGCAGATGAACTCTCAGGGCCACAGTCTTCCTTTGATCTTGTAAAACTCCTATTGACATCTGGAGTTCCCAGTCTGGTGAGAAAATAGACTATAAACTGAATGGAACAAAAATACCAGTCCAATATTTTGGTGGAGACTTTAAAACCATACCGTAGTACAGGGACTCTCCTGCCGTCCAGAAAAACTGACATAAGGTACAGAATTATTCCTTATCAGATGTTTTTAGGTGGGTACTAGGAGTCTTTAAAAAATACCAATCGTTTGTATGGAAACACAACTAAATGTTATTTTCTTTATCTAAATTAAGAAATCTCTTTTTATTATGCTATTTATAATTTTTTCTGGTTCTTGTATTTTTAAAAATCAAATATTAATGGTATCAAAGATTTCTTCCTCCTCCCCACCCCCTGCCCCAAGTCTTTTCTTAGCAACAGTGAATTCACATGAAGTAAATTTAAAAAGACAACAGAAACCCCAAATATAATTTGCTATTCAAAGCAAATTATGATTTAAAGCTACTTTTAAAAATAGAGATGGAAAATGGGATGGAATATGGGGCTGGGAATTGTTTGATTTTTAAACATTATTATTATTATTGGTTAATGTCATGTTTCCTCTGTTTCTTAGGGGGTAAAAGTGTTGTTTTTAAACTGGAAAATGCACTCTTCAGAGATCCTTTTCCATCCCATCCATATGGAGAGGTTAAAGGTTCAATTTCATGGCCTCTATGCAGGCAGTGCTCTCTCTTACAGGATGCAAGAGTATTACCTGCAAGGATAGAATGCAGTTGTACAACAGCCATTCTTATTTCTCTTGTTTTTTCCTACTTTTAATGACCCTCTTATTGAATATTGGGTTGAACTATAAATTAAAAAAACATGTTGCAAAGGATGTACAACCGAAGGCTGTGTATGTATATACAGTATGTCAAAAAGCCTTTATTTTTATACTTTAAATGCTCTAAATTAATAAAAAGTAATAATTACCATGTTATCTTTTATTTTTTTATTTTCAAAATGCTTTAGTGACATAGCCTCATGGTAGAAATATCCCACACTAGTCGTTAAGAACAGGTGTCATCTAGAATGTGCAGACATTTTTGTTGACTTCAGCTACTGAAGTAGCAGCATTTCAGGATACAGATAGAAAATCAAGTTTGGTTCTATCAAGGCCAAGGAGATAGTTTTTGGAGTGCACATTAGTACAGGATTCTTTGGAAATGCTAAGTATGTACTATTTTGAAACATTTCCCCCTGCATAATACATATTTTAACATTGCAAATAGCAGACTTCACACCCGAAGCTGTCACTTATAACTAATAACCTGAAAATGTACTTTTACTCTAAACATTCTTTTTTAAGAATGGCATAGGTAAAGAGTTCTGACAAAGGTATTTGGATGCAAATATAGACAGCACAGATGGGCCCAAAGAGTGGTTTCAATTTGTGATTTAACATGAACATATTTCAGCAACAACACTTGTTCTCAAAGGGAACGATGCAAAGGAAAGTAGTTTAATATAATTTCATGTTTTCTTTTTCTTCATAAAAGACTTCAAACATCATGATTTTAAAGTATGACCTGTTTTAACAGTGCAAAATATTAAGTAGATTTAGGAAAATATAGTTGAGATGTGTATGATTACTGAAGAGGTTTACAGCTTAATATAAAAGTCAACATATTTAAAGGTCATTTTAGTGCACTTTAAAAATATTTTTTCTGTGACTTTTAAATAGTATTTATGAAAGAGTTTAATTCCTTATAAAAACTGTTAAAATTTTGGCCTTTATTATTTTTTTTAAGCATTTCTTGACCTCTTGGAAAAAAACAGTTATCAATGGATTTTCATTGTGAAGCAATGTAAGAAAATCATAGGTCTAAAAATTTCTATGGCTTTTATGAAATATGTCTGATTTTTTTCTATTTTTCTATATTCAGTTTACATACCTCATTGCTTCATATTATTTTTCTTCTCACAGTTTTATGGATATGGCCCAAACTACGTCTCAAATTGTCTAATTTTTGAAGTTTCAAAATACGTTTGGTTCCTGAACTGTTTTTCCCTTTATAATTGTGTACAATTGCATAGTTACAATTTATAATTGTATCAGCTTTAGATGATTGATAGTGTCTCCTTCTCAGGGTGCTGTCTAGCAAATCTCCATTATCTCAATGGGAAGAAACGCTTCCTAGGTGATCACCAGTTCTCCTGAAGCCATGAGTAGCTATATTCGTAAACCAGCAGCATCACTGCACCACCTAGAAAAGAAAAGAGCTGGTTTTTATCGGAAATTCTGTGCAATAGTGGTGTCTTTCCCGTATGGTTTCTGAGTCCATGACGTCCCCTGCAGCCTGTTGGGCAGGGGGCTGGTCAGAACCATCAGTTCTTGAGCTCCAATACGTAGATATAAAACTACTGGAAAATTCTCCGGGCAAAATCAAGACCATCTTGAGTCTTCAAATACATTTTTTCCCCATGAGTTTCTGTAACTTTCATCATTTCTCATTAGATTCTTTTTCAGGCACTTTTAAAAATTAAAAGTAAATAAATAGAGACACTTAGTCATGTAAGGGCATGTGGCTTTCCTGCGAACAGAAACCTTCAGATCGTTCATATGTAGGCAAAGGATTTATTTTTTGCAGCCCATAATTAGCATTGTGGTAGTTGCATTCAAGAAGAAAATCTCTAAGATGGTGCTTGATGAATGAGTCTGGTTTTCTCTTACAGCTTTCAAACTGGATTGCAATGTGAAAAATAGCTTTGGAATATTTAAAAAATATGGATGGCAAAACTTAGCTAGCTTTCAATCTCCTTTTGTTTTCATTCCTTTTATCTGCCTGGGACATATATGGATGGCACTTGAAAATTTGGTAGGGGGGTTGGGTGTCATAAGACCATCGCTTGTCTTGGAAGAGGGGAGTTATGTAATGCTGCAGAGAGACTTGCCATGTAACATGTCAACAGGAATATGACACAGGAAAACAGGCACCGAGCCTGCTGAATGCCTAGACATCGGGAGAGCATTTTTGTATGCAGATGATTTTGTGTTCTAGCCGATGTAGTAAATAGCACATGTTCTGCATCCTTGAAGATCGTCTCTAGCTATCCTTTCATGTCTGTGTGAAAAATATTACAAAATCAAAATGTGGACAGATATCCTCAGCATTACTTAGAGAAGACTCGGCTGTATGAATAGAAGATTGACTTCTAACAGAAGGGAATAGAACTTGATTTTGATTTTAGTTATTTGGTACACATGGACATATGCTTTTTTAAAAAAATCGATAGGCCACACATGTTTGTGTAACCTTATACCGAAATAATTACCTGCCTATAATTTTCATTTTTAACCCATGAAGATACTCTCTATTAGACCTCTCTCAGCTGCTGTAGCCCTCAGCGCTTTGGCAAACAAGAAGGATGCACTACAGAGGTTGTTGATATGTATGTAAGTGCTGCATTTACTCTTATTAACTATTCACAATGTAAAACAAGAACACACAGAATTGGGCTAGTTTTCAGCCTAGCGATATTTGGAGTTTAAACCACAGACTTCAAGATTCTCCTTTCATGGAAGGTACCTACCTATAGCCACGTAGAGCTGCTAAGGCTGTGATAAAAGTGAGATGAGATTCTTCAGAATGAAGGATGAAAATTCTAGGTTCACTTTGCTTTTTTACTGTGTCTCCCCCCCTCTCTTGTCTGTTTCTCTTTCTTTCCCTTCCTCTCTCTCTCTCTCTCTTTCATCTTATCCTTAAATTGAAAGTGTCTCCACCTTTCGAGTAAAGGCAAGGTCTTTGAATGAGATTTCCAGTTATTCACAGTGGTGTTTAGCCTGGACAGTACATTCACAACAACACTTTTCATTGGATTTCACACCACAGCTCTCAGGACACCTCATGCAAAAACATTTAAAAAGCCAACCAAACATTTGCAAGCCTCTAACAAAACTTGGGGTCAGATGTTTTAAAGAGTTTTGGATTAAGGTTCCAGTCAATTACCATTTTAGTTCAACTCCCAGGTCACCACCGTTTTCAGGCCCATCCCCTCCTGGGAAAGCTGGGTTAGGGCCAGTCTTACAATTTTCCTAATACTAGGTCTATTAGCAGGTATTCACTGTGTGGTGAAGGAAAAACACCACATACCTGCAGAGAGAATTGCACAAAATCACCAATGTTCTTATCATTGGGTTCATTTTTACACATGGGCCAATGACTAACAGAAGGCTGAACCTCAAATGTGGAGCAAAATCCGTGCTTAAATGCCTCGAGAAGTTGGGTTAGATGGATTGAGAATTGAGGAAGTGTTTTCTAAACACACGAAGAGGTGAGCTGTTTACCAACTTGAATTTACGGACTGTTCAGGTTGGTAGAAATGCTGGTTTGTTGGTTGAGATCTCAAGGTAAATGCACATGTGTGTGTGTGGTAGGGTAGGGTGACATTGGTGTTAAGAGGGAGGAGTGGGAGAGGGAGAGAGGACAGGAGTAGGGGAGAGTTTTAGGGGAGATGACCAGGATGTTTAAGTAGGTGAGTGTGGCCTGGTAAAAAAATATGTGTGGTCGAGTGCATACTTCCGTACTTATTCACAGGTTGTTTATAATCCAAGCCTATTTGCCCAGGCGGTTGAGTCTGCAGCAGTTATTTTCTTATCTATTTACAGAGAGGCAGCAGACTCTCCCTGTGGGAATGGCAGCCAGTTTTCTGTGGGCTGGCCTCCTGAGGTGAGGCCTGGAGCCAGGAGCCTCCACCACCAGCCGACAGAGGCCAGGAAGGTGAATGCCAGGCTGCGGCTTCACCACTCCCCAGAGATGACCGCGAAGACAAGGGGCTCTTGCTGTCCGCGGAGGCCAGTTGCCCTTCTTTTCTCTTTTTGGAATGAAGCTGAGGCAGGAGCAAGGATGAACTAGAGCACCAGGAAAAGTTTTATTGGGGTTGGTCCCTCACACACTGACAATCACCCCCTGCCCCCTTCACCCAGAAGCCACTGTGTGTATTGTATATCTGGGTGCTCTCTCCGACTGCAACTGGCTATGGATCCGTTCCTATTGACTTAAGCTGGGCTTTGCTTCTATCAGCCTCCAGCAAGGCCATAAATAGCACTTTGTAAACAAAGGCAGAGCATTTGTAAAGGACACCTTTGGTATCTTGAATACTCACAGGCAACTTTATATCGTCAAGGTTTCTGTCTTTCACAGTGGAATCACTTTTATTGTGTTGCTGATAAACACAAATAAGAAAAAAAAGACACCAGAACAATAAAGAAGGAAGGATATAATAAAAACATCATTACCTGGTCCAAGCCTCATAATCTTGGGAAGCAGGCCTTTGTACAAAGCTAAAATCCTATTGGCAGAAGGAAAAGAGAGACATTCTTATTCTGAAAATACAGTGGAGTTGTACCTCTGCGTTACTGAGATGCTCACCCAGCATTTGTAAAAAAAAATGATTTGAAATTATACACATCCCAAACCAGGCAGTATCAGGCTAAATAGTGTCTGTAACAATTTGGACAAGGGGAAAAGAATGGATGAATTCTGTGTTACCCAAACTATGCTGGTCTTGTCCAATCAGAAATACAACTTTCATCAGCATGATGGTTTTTGCTTTCAAGACAGGTCTTACTTTTGAGACAGCTGTGTATATGGACAAAGTGACTTTTTTAATTGCATTTAAAAGATCACAAGGGGCCGGCCGAGTGGCGCGATGGTTAAGAGCTGGCTTGGGACGCCAGAGGGCCCCGGTTCGGATCCCACATATGAGGGCCAGTGACACTGCCCTCCA